CAGGCGTAGGGCTAGGAGGGACTCTAGAGAGGAGGATAGAAGTCGCAGAGACTCGAGAGAGGAGGATAGAAGTCGCAGAGACTCGAGAGAGGAGGATAGAAGTCGCAGAGACTCGAGAGACGGAGAGAGTCGGGTGAAGAGGGAGAACAGAGAGGAGCGGAGAGAAGGAAGGAGGCAGAGCAGGGAGGAGAGCAAAGGGCACCATGGTAAAGACAAGTCAAAGGGAGAGAGAGAGGAAGTGAGGATTAAGGAGGAGGTTGAAGAGAAAGACAGAAGTGAAGGGAAAGGTAGTAGAGGGGAACAGCAGCGTGGCTGGAGCGAGAGGGGTGGGGGTGGTCGTGTGGCTGTGAGGAGGGAGGAGGAGGAGGATGTGGACATGGATTCAGAAGATCAGGAAGAGTCGTAACTCAATTGTCTGTCTCAACTATAATCTATTTGCCTTTTGTTGGGAACACGTTGATGTTTTCATTATCATCTGGGACATTTTTGAGTCAGACTGGACTGCTGTTTGCTGGGAGAATAGTGGAGGGGACATTTGTGGGTGGCCGTTGGTGAAAGGGGGGGGGGTGGTAACGGGCGGTACTGTTTGGTTGGGGTGCAAGTGGATCAAGTTGGGACACATTCTTTCATTGTGAGCTCTGTGTTGTTGGGGCAGGGAATGAGGGGCTATGGTTACAGTGGAGATCAAGATAGTACAATAACGCAGATAGATAGATAGATAGATAGATAGATAGTTAGATAGATAAATATAGAGATAAGTATAGAGATAAATAGATAGATAGAGAATGTACGTGTGTACGTGTACATTGGTATTACTGGTATTGACTGTGCATGTGTGTTTGTATGTGTGTGTGTGTGTGCTGCGATGTTGTATCCCACTTAGTCCGTGTTGACCCCGTTGAAGCAGCCCGCGTCCTAAAGATTAATTATTGGCGTTCTTGTAACATTTCTGTATAATGATGCATGATGTGAGACTGCTTTTAGCAAGAACTACATTTGTACTGGAGGCTTTGTAAATTAAAATTGATCAGCAGCAAGGGGAGGGGAAAGGGGGGGGTTCTTAGTCTCCACTTGGGGGATTTAACTCTTTCATGACGTAGTGAACACATAAGTCCGATCAACGGCAGACCAAAGGCATTGTTGAGACACATTTGATCGTTAAGTATCATATGTCAACTGTTGCCTGGCATTTTAAGTTTCAGGCAATGAAAACAGAATTGAAAAATAAAAATATGTATGTCATTAGTAGTAACACAGTTATGTTTCTTTAAAAAATATATTTTAAATACAGTATCTCAAAACAGCGTGTCTTCAAAAGTTGTCGAATGATTATAATGCGCGTCCTCAAAGACTAGTTGAGGTCGTGATGGATACCTGAGTCTGATCAACAGACATTTCAGAGGACATGTTATGCATGTTGTTGCCTGCCAATTCAAGTTTTCCGTTGGGCGTTTGGTTGCACACTGATCGAAAAAGGCAAATGGTAGGCCTATTTCCCCTCTGAAGTTTTTATTTGTTTGCCATATGTACTACAGGCTCATTTTTCAACCATATAAATATAAGGAATCGGCTGCTACAAAAGAAATTACCCTTTGGCAAATCTTAGGGGTTTATGAGCAACCACCTCAACAAGTGGTTGCTGGAGATCACTTTACTCTATGTCTAGAGGAAAAAGAATTGGCATCACGTATGGTGTCTTACCGGTAAGAACTGTTGTTTTTTAGAAGTGAGATTGATATATCATATAATCTGTGAGGCTGGAGTGCCAGGTAATCCAAGCAAGACGCTGTGATCGGTAATGGGTTGTAATATCTAGATTTGAGATAAATTTAATCAGAAGACGAAGACCGACGTCTGAGGTGTAGGCCTCGTGATTAGGCACTTTAGCTGTCGTACACAGGAGACCCGAGTTCGATTTAGTAGAAGAGGAAAGGGGGGGGGGGGGCACTTTCACGAGTATTTCGGTCTATCTGCTGGGATGTTGTATCCTTCTCCTAAGTCCATGTTGGTCCTGGCAGGAAGGGTCGGAAGTTTGCCTCCAAAATGATCTAAATTGTGTCAATGGCAACGTAAAATAAGCCTGCATTACAAAAAGAAAAGGAGAAGGACTATTTGTCATGACATCCCTTATTTTGGGCCCGGTGTTAACAAATGTAATCCCAACTTATTGTTTCAGACGTACCTCAGTGGTTTTCAGTTTGTACTGCTGGGTATGGCCTTGTTCCTGTATCTGATCACCGCTGTTTATATACATCATGTGAGTACATTAGTGTGTGTGTGTGTGTGTGTGTGAGAGAGAGAGAGAGAGAGAGAGAGAGAAAGAGAGA